AAAAAAAAAAAAAAAAAAAAAAGCCCCCCCCCCCCCCAGGGGCCCCCCCCGCCCCCGGGGGGGGGGGAGATCATGCAGAGGCTTTGGGTGGGTTGTAGAGTGCTCCTGGGGGTTGGGGGGAAACGAGCAAAAATGGTCAATTGTTTGCTCGTTTTTGCCCTCCGCGGCCTCCAGGAGCACTTTGCAAGCCTCCCAAATCCTCTGCAGGTCCATTTTTGCAAAGGGGCGGGGTTTCAGGAGGCCAAAAATGCTGTATTCAGTGTATAAGACGCACCCAGATTTTCACCTTCTTTTGGTGCGTCTTATACTCCGAAAAATATGGTAAGAAATTCTCAGATTTCCCCCAAAATAAGTCCTATTGTTATCTTTTGGAGTAAAAATTAATATAAGACCCAGTCTTATTTTCAGGGAAATGAATGTCTGGGTTTGCTACTCAGGATGAGTTTTGCTTGGTTTCTACATTTTTGGATGAGGGAATTCATGCCAGTGACTTCATGTCCTTCCCTCCCTCCCTGTCCTGGTTAGGATCATTTTGTGGAACGGAGAGTTCACTTACTTGCTGGCTGGTCCAGCTTCACCACTAGGGCTTGTAAAGCATAAAGGGCCTGGAGCTCCTTATCTTCATCACTCAAGTATTTCTGCAGCAGCTTGGCTCGGCTCTTAATCACAAGATTTTCCATCCGGTAAGGATTCTCGACTGTAGCAGAAGAAGGGGAGAGGTCAGCTGAACAAATGGACAGGGGACAGTTTTCTGCCTAGCCCCAAGGACGATGCTAGCAACACTCACAATCCCTTCCCCCCATGGCCCTCCCTCTGCTTCTATAATAGGATCCTGGGAGTGTCAGGGGGTCTGGACCAGTCCTATAAAACACGACTCGATTGGGTGAAAGGTTAAATTTGGCCAAGGTTTGCACTGTCCTCTCCACCTCTCACACTGTGGGGAATCACCATGCTGGCTGGAGAATTCTGGGAGTTGAAGTCCACAAGTCTTAAAGTTGCCAAGTTTGAAGACCTCTGTTTTAAGCTGTTCCAAAGGTGCTTTTTCTCTCTCCCCACCCCACCAAATGGCAACCACACTTTCTTGTTTTGATCTCTATGAAAACGTTTTGCTTCCCAGCCAGTTCTAACTGAAATTAGAACAGAAGAAGCTTCTTGGATGAGAAGCGAAACCTTTTCAAAGGAAAAAAAATGTCCAGTTGTATTTGGGGGGGGAATGCATCTTTGGGACAACCATCATCTGGATGATTGAGAATCTCCATAGATCTCCCTTCCTTAAAGTGGAGCCCATCGACGTGTGTGACGTTGTGTCGGCCACGCCCACACGGTCACATGACCACTGAGCCACGCCTACCCAGATAGTCATTAGGACCGAGAACCGGTTAAATTATTTGAATCCCACCACTGCCCCCCCCCTCCCACCCACCCCCCCGTTGATAACAGTAAAGGCTTACAGACTACGGCGGAATGGCACACTGAC